AAAAAAAAAGAAAAGTTCTAGTTATATTTGATAATTTATTTTTCACTTTTTCCTACCTGAATTTCATTCATAGAAGAATTTCCTTGGGACATCTCAGTAACATTTAAATTTAATGGAGCTGCCTTTAAGCTAAATTGATTATATAAAGGAACACGCAAACGGCAAGAATCCTTCCAATTCACAGTTCTATTTAGAGTTATTGAACCTTAGGAATTAATAGTTTTTTAATAAGTTTTTTTTATAATAGAAGTGAGGAGAATATTATCTAAACTACTTAATTATACAATGAAAATTAATAGTGCAAGATCTCATTTAATTTTTTTACTACAATGCTAATTTTAGATTTATATTTAAGATACTATCTTGTAAACTTATATTTAAGAGAACGGGAATATTTGTAAAGAACAAAACCAAATTCAGTACCTGTGTACCAAAGTGAAATATGTTCCTGACCATACTATGTAGGCATTTCTTTAATATAGCTGAATAGTATTTATAATTTATTATTCATGATAAATTACTAATGACAAATTAACTTTTCATGGATGTTATAAAGCAATTAATGATTTTAAGAACAAAATATTGATTTATTTCTTAATTCAGCTTTTAAATTATTTGATAAAATGCTTCAAATGTTATTTTTTTAAACTATTTAAACGAGATGCTATTAGTCTGAATAAATCTGTGATTATTTTTTAAAAACTAATGTATTAGTTTTAACTATTTTTCAGGAGAACAAAAATAAATTAAAAATTTCAATAGTTATGAAAATTTATATTATTGAAATGCCTTTCCGATAAAATTTAATCTTAATTTTTTTACGTGTGAAAGAATACATTCTTATCTCAAAATATGATAATAAACCTCAAAGACCCATTTTTGTAACTCATCAAATTTTGGATATAAGCTAAAAGTATTTATTTCCATTTATCAATTAATATTACTTAATAGTACTTTTACACAAAATATTTTTGAAAATATAAAAATTAATCACTTTCAACAAATTCAACAAAAAAATATTTATAGGTTAATTTTTTAATTTAATTTAATTTTTAGTGAGTTATGATTGTTATAAGTTTGAGGGAAATGAAAAAATAAGTATTTATTTATACTAGGAACTATAAATCGAGTAGTAATATCAGTTCTAGGACTACAATGATTAGTTATAAGAGCATAGGTACATTAACAATTTATGATTATTGTTCGCGTTCACATCTTGTATAAATGAATGCTTTTATTTTTATCTTTCACAAACTTATAAAACTTGTAACCTGATGGTAACAAAATAAAAGGGTTATTTTTCTATTATGTCATAATAGATAATAGTAGAAATTTAGTATTTCTCATTAAATAGCTCAATAAAGAATCATTATTGTTGTAAAAATATAAAAAAAAATTAACTTGTATAATTTCAAAAATATTTTGTGGAACACAGTTAAGAATCCCCTTGTATTATTCACCTACCATATTAAAGATAAATTTAAAAATAAAACTTTATTTGAGTTTTTTAATTAAATAATAAAAGAAACATATATTTTAAAAAGTTAAAATAAAATTTAACATAAATAATATTTTTCAAATAAAATTTTACTTTTTAAGTCTCCAACAGAATTTTGAACAACAGCACTAAGTAATGAACGTAAACTACTTAATACTTTTAATCGCCATACACTTGTAGTAGTATGTTCATTTATTTGTACAGTTAGTTTACGGGATCCTGTATCATTTAGTTTCGATGATATTAAATCTAAGAATCCTGGTAAAACAACAGACTAAAAATTAAAACATAGAGGTTAGTAAATAATAAAGCTTAGAACAAATTTAGTTCAAATAAAAATACCTGACACTGAGTAGCTGTCAATTTTGGACATTTTTCTATAAGAACCTCTAAAACTTGTAGTGATGTTTCTCGAACTGCAGAATTAATGTGACTCATTGCACAAGCTAAGTATCTTGTAACAATTTCAAATGAAGGAGCAACTTGATCTTCATTGACTGCAGTCAAAATAGATGATAAAAGTTTAACTGCTAGCTTACGAATATCAGCTTCGCAGTCCAAGGAAAGACGTGAAGCAGCTTCTAAAAATGATGACAAGTGAACAGCCATAGTTTGTGGGGGATAAAATGCTACAAGATCATTTAATCCCTCTAAAGCAGACTGCCTTTGCCACATATTATGATGGTTAAGTCTTGTAAGCAGTTCCTATAAATAACATTTAAGATTAATTTTACAATAATGCATATATTAACACAATTTTATCTTACTTTTATGTTAAGATTTCCTTTAGAAAGTATTTCATGTTCACCACGTTCTTTTAACTGGCCTTTCAAAACAATTTTTTGCACTTTAAAATTGGTGTTTGTTACATTTTGTCCTTTAGGTAATAATGTTTGATGAGAAACTTTTAATTTCACTTTAGATTTTTCCTTTTTTAAAAATTTTTTGTGTCCTGATTTTACCATTTTTCAAAATGATAATTATATTCAATTAATAATTTAAAAAAATTACCAATAAACAGTAACTTCAGGTATTGATTTTTTTAATACTCGAACAGTTACTAGCTTATGTGTTGAATCTATGGATCATTTGTTATTTAATTGAAAAGTTGATAAAAAATATCACACGAGGTCGTACAGTGTAGGTAAATACGCCAACATTAAATATACTTTTTCGGCATCACTGTAACACACATTCTACTAAATTAGAAGAATACTGCCAGTGATCAATAAATCAAATGTATCGTTATCCGACAGTTCCATTGACATTATTAACATGTATCTATTATCTATGGGTAGCTCTGAGTATACTATAATAAACATGCGTTCAACCAACCTCAGCCATTACATACGTCTATACAACCTTCTAAAATTCTTAGTGTGCTTTGTTACACCCTAGTGTGGTTCAATAAGAGTGGGAAATTTAGATATTGGACTACCTGACAGCACACCACGTAC